CCCAGACCAGTGTCCCCAGTCCCAGACTGGTCCATCCCCAGCCCCAGACCAGTCTCCCCTATGCCAGACCAGTGTCCCTAGTCCCAGACCAGTCCATCCCCAGTCCCAGACCAGTGTCCCCAGTCCCAGATCAGTCCATCCCCAGTCCCAGACCAGTGTCCCCAGTCCCAGACTGGTCCATCCCCAGCCCCAGACCAGTGTCCCCAGCCCCAGACCAGTGTCCCCAGTCTCAGACTGGTCCATCCCCAGCCCCAGACCAGTGTCCCCAGCCCCAGACCAGTGTCCCCAGTCTCAGACTGGTCCATCCCCAGCCCCAGACCAGTGTCCCCAGCCCCAGACCAGTGTCCCCAGTCTCAGACTGGTCCATCCCCAGCCCCAGACCAGTGTCCCCAGCCCCAGACCAGTGTCCCCAGCCCCAGACCAGTGTCCCCAGCCCCAGACCAGTGTCCCCAGCCCCAGACCAGTGTCCCCAGCCCCAGACCAGTGTCCCCAGCCCCAGACCAGTGTCCCCAGCCCCAGACCAGTGTCCCCAGCCCCAGACCAGTGTCCCCAGTCCCAGACTGGTCCATCCCCAGCCCCAGACCAGTCTCCCCTATGCCAGACCAGTGTCCCTAGTCCCAGACCAGTCCATCCCCAGTCCCAGACCAGTGTCCCCAGTCCCAGATCAGTCCATCCCCAGTCCCAGACCAGTGTCCCCAGTCCCAGACTGGTCCATCCCCAGACCCAGACCAGTCTCTCCAGTTCCAGACCCAGACCCAGTCCCAGACCTGTCCATCCCCAGTCCCAGACTGGTCTATCCCCAGACCCAGACCAGTATCCCCAGTCCCAGATCTGTCCAGCCCCAGCCCCAGACCAGTCTCCCCAGTCCCAGATTGGTCCATCCCCAGTCCCGACCTGTCCAATCCCCAGTCCCAGATCGGTCCATCCCCAGTCCCAGACCAGTCTCCCCAGTCCCAGACCTGTCCATCCCCAGCCCCAGACCAGTGTCCCCAGTCCCAGATCGGTCCATCCCCAGTCCCAGACCTGTCCATCCCCAGTCCCAGATGAGTCCATCCCCAGACCAGTCCATCCCTGGGCAGTTTCCAGTTCCCTCCCGGATCAACCCCTGGTGCCGGATCAGTCCCTCCTTTGCTGCCCCCGGCCGGGATCGGTGCCCCGGCGGTGCCCAGCAGCCCCAGCCCAGCGCGGACGTACCCAGCCGGGCTGCTGGCCGTAGCAGAGCATAAAGGACCATCTGCAGCCTGACTTCAGAGGGGGTTTTGGGGGGTTACCAGATTACACACGCATTTCTTGGAAGAAAACCATAATTACTCCCATGTGGGTAATACAGAGAAATGGGAAATGTATGGAGCTGCACAGATGGTATAATAGAAATAATGATCTAAGGTACACAACCTTTACTGTCATTTATAATAAATAACGGCTGTAATAGCCCTTGTTTTTAAACACCCGACTGATCCTAATCAGATCCCCCCTGTGAGATTTGGGGAGAGCCAAAAACATCTTTTGCAATCAGATACGGTTCTTAACCTTAAGGTTATTCCTTTCTTTGACCGAGCAACAAGTTAAGCTTTGCCGGGGGGG